TTTTACTCAGAAATATATTTTCCAGTGAAACACCCATTACATGAGTATCAGGATGCATATTGCATTCTAATGTACAGTATGGTAGTGTAGTTTTTGCCAGTTTTACTTTTACGAATGGTATATTTTTTTATAAACCGCAATGCCCATATTTCCGGATTCGCCAGAAAGGTGTTCATAATGGTCTACCAAATTGAATATAGTATTCTGGTGTTCACAAAATTATGATTTTGTAATATTTCATAAAACTGTCGAGCACTCTTTATTTTCCATATTCAGAATACTGCATCATATGCTCAACTAACGAGTCTGTAAAAGTCAGTCCTCTCAAAGAGCTTGCATGATTGGTTTCTTTGTTTTGTAGAAACTACGCACTACCCTGGTAGATGAAAGTAACATGTAAGACTTTATGCGAAATGATTACTTCTATTCGTTTCTGTGTTCTTTACCATCATGGACTCTGAGCGATGGATCACTGCTTTTCAGAGGCTAGGCTCTGGGTACATGTAACGTTACATACACAAAATGCAGCAATAAAATGCAACAATATATACAAGCACAGAAGTTTGCATCAAATATCTAGATCATTATTTACAATGGTAGAAGTCGCGAGGGTTGGGAGTCAGAGGTGAAACAACTCACTTGTACGGTGTAAAAAAAAACTGTGGTTCTCACATCATGAGTTTACTGCAACTCGCTATATATCTGTAATACTATGCAAATATCCTTTTATCACATTCTAGTCTGACGTTCAACAGTTGCAATAATTGATCCACAATGAACCGCAATAAACCGCAATGTCCATATTTCTGGATTTGCCAGAAAGATATGATAATAATAATAATGGTCTACCAATATAGTATTCTGGTGTTTACAAAATGATGATGTTATAATATCTCAAATTTTCGAGTACTCTTTTTTTTCCATATTCAGAATGCTGCATCATGTGCTCAACTAACGAGTCTGTAAAAGTCAGTCCTCTCAAAGAGCATGCATGATTGGTTTCTTTGTTTTGTAAAAACTACACACTACCCTGGTAGATGAAAGTAACATGTAAGACTTTATACGAAATGGTTACTTCTATTCGTCTCTGTGTTCTTTACCATCATGGACTCTGAGCGATGGATCACTGCTTTTCAGAGGCTAGGCTCTGGGTACATGTAACGTTACATACACAAAATGCAACAATAAAATGCAACAATATATACAAGCACAAAATTCTGCATAAAACATTTAGATCAGTATTTACAATCGTAGAAGTCGCGAGGGTTGGAAGTCAGAGGTGAAACCACTCACTTGCACGGTGTAAAAAAACTGTGGTTATCACATCATGAGTTTACTGCAACTCGCTATATATCTGTAATACTATGCAAATATCCTTTTATCACATTCTAGTCTGACGTTCAACAGTCGCAAGGATTGAGTAAAACTGTGTTGGGTTTACATTTTGCAGAATGTTATTCGCGATCGGTCTGGTTATTGCTGTTGTTAAATGGCAGTTGTATGAAAGTGGACGGGTAAAGTGCTTGCCTATTCATCTGTTTTCGAGTCGTGCAGTTTGACTATTAAGCTGGCTGGTGACACCAGTTTTAATTGGGTTCTCTGGGAGACGTGATGCAGATGTAACTGCATTAATAATCATATAAACGGTATTAAAATCGTAAAATACTAAATTCCCTTACAGACTGGACTAAATGCTTTGGAAATGGATGCAAACTAAAGGTATTTTGTACTTTTTGTTTCTCATAGTGAAACTTTTCTTTTGTCTTACTTACTGTTTCCATTTTAACTATCAGCAAAACACTGTCAAACCTGTCCATTATAAGAGACCACTTGAAGAAAATGCATGCATGTGGTTACAATAGATACGCTGACAGTGGGGAAAAAGTAACCTAAAAACAGCTACTGTATGGGATGAGAATTAAACTATGAACATTGGATTTACAAAATAAATTGGAGACACCAAAGTGGCATTGGTCTTTTGTTAGCTCTAGATATACCTTAGCTTGTTTCAATTATTTCTTTACAAAAGAGATGGGGTTGATGAAAGTTCTTTTTCTCAATCTAACAGCAGAAATGGAGGGACATGACCAGAAACCCTCGCCAGGACAAGAGTGCCAAGACACGCCGGGCATTCTGAAGTTGGAAACTGATGAGGAGAGCAAAGAGTACGAGGAAGGTGTGGGGCGGGAATCACAAGATACTGATGATGTTCCCTACAAGTACAAAGAGCCGAAGGATGTAGGCTTTGCCTACAGAGCCAAAGGTAAGTTCACAAATTGACCTTGGAGTCGTGTGGCGTAGCGGTAGCGTGTTCGGTTCAGGACCAAGAGGTCCCGGGTTCCAATCCTACGCATGTCACCAATCTTGTGCCCTTGGAAAGGCACTTTACACGTCTTTCCTCACTTAACTAAGGTGGAAATGAGGGCCTCCTCGGATAGGACGTTAAATGGAGGTCCCGTGTTTGGGGAGAGCCTTACCCCATGCACGTTATTAACTTAAAGAACCCACCGCACTTATAAAAAGAGTAGGGGACCTTCCCGGTGTGAGTGGTTCAAACCTTACAGTCCTGTCTTACGCAGCTTGTACGTACATGTACAAAACTGCCGCTTTACCTTTTATGCGAAACAAACAAACCTTAGCTCCTTTTAAAAGTGATGTCGGATTTGTTCGCTGATCCTCAAGATTTTTCAATATGGTGCTGCTGGTTTCATTCCTTTCTGTTATTCGAAATCCAAATTATTTCCCTTGTTCAGTGCTTGTTTCTAAGTGTGGTCCTAGATATATATCCTGTGGTATTGAGACATATCATAAAGTTGCATTTATTTCATTGTTTGATTTTGTTGATGCAATCATTATCCCGGTTGGGATATAGGCTTATACATACGTTATATGTTGTACTCTGTGTTAACAGTATAATTTTTTTCGTGAACTCAGAGTACAGACCAGCTAATGAAAATTTTATTTAGAATCATTGTCACATTGATAGGCATTTATCGATATTAGCGACAAAATATTCAAGAATTTTTTGTGATTCTTAATGTTAAGTTTTATTTGATGCATGTCATAGGGTAATGTCCATTTTGTAAAAAAAAATGATTGAGGTTGAATATCCTATTCACACTTCCTTCCAGGTACTAAGTATCGTTTTGAGTTGGTTGCAGAGCAGGTTGTTGTAACTCATGAAGGTCAGGATTGATTGCGATAATATGTGGGGAGGTGTTTGAAGACGAAGGCTTTTATTTTCATAATTTGGGCATTTACGTAGCTTGTTCAGGGATATAGGAACTACTTAATTGAGACCAGGAATTAAGAGCTTTATTTGCATATTCTGTTGTGCTTTTATAATAGGATTTTAATGCCACGATGGTCCAATTTGGGCCCAAATGCCCCAACCTTCTTTAGAACTGAATTTTGTTCGATGTGACGTAATCGGCTCACCCGCGGTCATTTACAGTAAACTCGCGACTTCGAGCCTTTTTTTAAATATATATATTTTTAAGTCTACCGTTTGACAAATATAAACTGATTTTTGAACAGTACATCGCGTCATTTTGGAGTGGATATGTGTCGTCTAAGGAAGCTACAGCCGTCATGATGGGTGACCTTGAAGATCGTAATTCTTGTTTACACGGATATGAATTACCCCATCTCGCTATTCACGTGGCATGACATGCCACAAAAGGTTATAAGAAACTTAGGGTGATACAAACACCATGATACATTCCACATGTATCATATCATTATCATTTCTTTATTCACTAGAACGTGTCATCAACCTATGGAAAAGCGGCAAATGTATTTTCAAGGCCTTCTGCTGCATTACACTGGGCTTCGGTTTCTTGATGGTAGCAGCTGTGGTTGCCGCATTACTGGTCACTCATTTTTCACCTAGAGATCAGGTAGGCTTCATTTCACGTTGATGTTTTAAAACCCTTGTTCTGCGGGACCCATATATATATGGGTTGCACATACGGTACCAACTATATAGCACCCTGTATATGTACAATTTGGTATTTCTCATGCAACGCATCACACCTCAGCGAAACGCAACCAATGCAGAAGTAACTACGCCACCGTAGGGCAAAAAAGTAAAGGATCTATGACCTGGTTAAGACATCAAATTATTTGACAATATTGTGTAAAAACTGCCAGCAGGACAAGAGTTAAGTCTTTGAAGTCTTTCTTCATAACTTTGTCAGAATAGTAGATTTTAAATGTGGCTTCAACTAGAAATTGTTGTAACCTGTGATAGAGCTACATACTACTGTACTAGTGTCATAAGATAGATGTTTATATCAAATTCATGCCCAAGGGCTAATTGCAAACAGACATTGACAAGAAAACTGTGGTGATATAAAATTATGTGCTAACATGAAGTTCTACGTGTACGATATACTTATCAGAACCTACTATCTCTAACTGTCATAACGCCGATACACATGTAATAGGCTCGTAATGATGTCAAACAATAAATTTTATACTTTCCATGCAAATGTTATGAACTTGAATCTGTAAGACCTATAATGAATAGGAGTTTCCTAACCTGTCGGTGCCCAAATACTGCATGTATGATTGTACAATTGCACATTTTGCATCTTTTCCTTTTTTCTTCAGACAGAAAATCTTTATAAATATAAGAGTCAAGAAATGTCCTCACACAGGCGACTCAAATGTAGGTACAATGTATTTCCAGGAGGTGTACAGCTTGAAGAACCAGGCGGGGCATGTGAACAACGAAAGTACTCCAAGGTGGACAACTTTCTACCAGAAGGACATCTCTGATCTTCTCTACTCGACTTTGCATTCTACCCTGTTGGGACTGGAGCGGAAACAAATGTCCACCGATTTTCGTGAAGCCACAGAGTCCACACCGATTACTCTCGCATCTCTGACAACTACAGGTAGGAATCTCTCTTCGAAGATTCAACTATGTCGCGTAGAGTTCACATCGTAAAGCACATGATGATACCTAAACTATTTCTTTCTTATTACACATTTAGACATCAATGACTGCACCAAGAAACCCTGCCAGGATGGAACCAGTGTGAACAACGATGGTGGATACAACTGTACCTGCTCACCTGGATGGACTGGACAGAACTGCCAGCAAGGTTAGTCGACTTCTTTCCCTGTACATGTACATTTGTAGTTCCCATAATGGCTCAAATTAATATTACATTAGACAAGGATGCCAGCAGAGTGGTAAATCTGGCACTTTTCGCAGAAACCATTCAATTGCTTACAGTCAGTGGTTATTTATCACACAGACATCAATGAGTGTACCAGAAACCCCTGCCTTCATGGACGTTGTGTGAACAAAGCTGGCGGATACAAATGCATCTGCTCCCCTGGATGGACTGGACAGAACTGTCAGGAAGGTAAGGAGTCCCCATTCCCATCTATTGTGCCTTAAAATCCTTTTTTTCACTTTATAATTCTTCCTCTTTTTCTTCTTATTTATTTAAATGGGATTTATTTCAGTACAACTTTCTTCTTTATTTACCTCACAGACATCAATGAGTGTTACAGCAGACCCTGTCGACATGGAACCTGTGTGAACAAAAATGGTGGATACAACTGCACTTGCCCCCTTGGATGGACTGGAAAGAACTGTAAACAAGGTGGGTTACCTTTTTTATGTAAATCGAGACATAATATAATGTGTTTTCATTGTGCTTTGAATCAGTTCTGCTGCACATTTCTTTTGTACAGACCTGAATGAGTGCATCAAGAAACCATGTCAACATGGAACCTGTGTGAACAAAGATGGCGGATACAACTGTTCCTGCTCACCTGGATGGACTGGAAAGAACTGTCAGCAAGGTGAGATATCCGTCTACTTCAGCTTTTCTGAGTTTTGAGTTCTGTTGTGTGCAGCCTAGTAGATTTTTTTCTTCCTATGTCTATTTTTCCTTTTTTTCTTTATAATTAATTGGGATTATTTATGGATGATATTTCTTTATTTTATTGCAGACATAGATGAGTGTGCCAGGAACCCTTGCAAACATGGAACCTGTGTGGACAAAGATGGTGGATACAACTGTACTTGCTCACCTGGGTGGACTGGAAAGAACTGTCAGATAGGTGAGTTTTGTTGTGTAGTAACCATTTAGTAAACCCTTAGTATAATACTAGTATGCAGTTATCCGTATACTATACGTAAACTATAACTGATAGTGTCATGAAATGATTGATTGAATCTAGCCCTGGCGTTCATATTCATTTGACAAATGTAGCGTGTTTGTTTGTTTGTTTGTTTGTTATAGAACCACCACCCTGGTCAGCATCCTCGTTTCATTCAATGACCTCAGCTGATCGTGCAGATATCAACACTCGCGAGACTGCCAATGCAGCAGGTGGATGGTCAGCAGCAACCAATGACAAGGACCAATGGCTGATGAGGAACCTTGGCAACGTAAGCGTCATCACCGGCGTCATCACCAAAGGCAGGAACTACAGCGCTGATTGGCCACATGGCATGCATGACCAATACGTCACATCCTACGTCATTTCATACGTTGATGACAATGACGATGAGAAGTTCTACACTGATGCAGAGGGACGAGTTACTGTAAGAATCATTCCTCCTTTTATTTGATCTCCTAAGATCTTTAAATGTTTAAATCTTATACAGTAAGTGTAGAACTTTATCATTGTTTCCAAGAAGAGCTTAATTTTCTTGGCCTGAACGCAGAATCTCCATATGTTACAGGTTTTTCCGGGGAACAACGACAGAGACACGGAGGTGTACCACGACTTTGGAGACTACAATGGCCCCATTACTGCGCGCTTCATCAAAATCCACCCACGAACTTGGCATGGGCACATCTCAATGCGAGCGAAGATCGTAACAGGTTTGAACCGTTTTAATGTTAACATTTAAAATTTCATTTCTAGCCTGGAACGCAGTAAGGTTATACGTTCAGTTGCGTTTGTCTGTCATTCTGTCTGTTGGTCAACAACATAACTCGGCTGGATGGATTGGTTTCATACTTGGTGCCAAAAACTGAAAATGAGGAGATTTTAGGCTCCCTGGCGTCCCTTGGTACTGTCCGGTTTCGATATCTCACGATCGCGACATGCTAGGTGAATTTTAGATGGTAGGTAGCTATTTCGCTCGGTAAGAAGTCACGTGAGATATATTGTAATTGATCCAGAGCAAAAAGGGCATTTCTAGTTGCTCCTTGTTTTGGGTAATCGTGGGCAAACACAGTTATATTTTTCGTCAATTTTGTGTGCCAAGGTCAGCTTTTTGTAAATCACTTGTTTTCTTTTTATTATGTTTGATTTTGTTATCTATATAATAAAGTTGCCTTATTTATGGATACTATTTCATACCACATATTTAGATGAGTGTGCCAGAAACCCTTGCGAACATGGAAGCTGTGTGAACAAAGATGGTGGATACAACTGTACCTGCTCACCAGGGTGGACTGGACAGAAGTGTCATCAAGGTGAGTTAGTAACCACATAGTACAATATTTTATTACATAGACTTTGATACTTTTGAGTTTTTAAATTTTTCTTTGTTACTGTCTTTGTTTTGATTCGGGGTTTATTCGGTTTCTATTTCTTTCTGATTCCCACAGACATCAATGAGTGTACCAGAAACCCATGCAAACATGGAACCTGTGTGAACAAAGATGGCGGATACAAATGTACCTGCTCACCTGGATGGACTGGACAGAACTGTCAGCAAGGTGAGTTTTTACTGTCTCTTTGTTGATTATAGATATCAAGGGGTTTTATAATTGGTTAATATTTCTTTCTTTATCCCATAGACATCAATGAGTGTACCAGAAACCCATGCCGACATGGACGCTGTGTGAACAAAGACGGTGGATACACCTGTAAGTGCTCACCTGGATGGACTGGACAGAACTGTCATAAAGGTAGGCTTTGTGGTGTAGTAACCATTTAGTAACCAATTAACAAAGTGCATTTTATTTGATGGTCTTAAAATATTTTTTTTTCAATGCGGTTAGCTACAACTGCCATATATATCTTTTGTACAGACATCAATGAGTGTACTAGCAAACCATGCCAACATGGAACCTGTGTGAACAATGCTGGTGGATACAAATGTACCTGCTCACCTGGATGGACTGGACAGAACTGCCAGAAAGGTGGGTTTTGTTGTGTTCTATTCACTTTGCATAGTATATCATATCAGTATTTTGACACTTAAATAATCATCCTTTTTACTGTCTTCAAAGATAAAAAAAAATCATGTGGTTTATGTTTCTTTTATATTTTTCTCTTAATCCCACAGACATCAATGAGTGCACCAAAAAACCCTGCCGATATGGACGCTGTGTGAACAGAGATGGTGGATACAAATGTACCTGCTCACCTGGATGGACTGGGCAGAACTGTCATCAAGGTTAGTTATCTTTCCTTTAACAGCTTATGGTCTCTTGCACACAGACAGCGTTGATAATTGGTGTTATTCATGTATTTTTTTGCCATCACTCAGACATCAATGAGTGCACCAGAAACCCATGTCAACATGGACGCTGTGTGAACATCGGTGGTGGATACATATGTTCCTGCTCATCTGGATGGACTGGACAGAACTGTCAGAAAGGTGACTTTCTAATAGTGCAGCTATCATGCAATTTGCGTGCAAATTATCACCATTGTTTCAGCTATTGTTCTTTTTCTTGATGATTTTTTTTAATGTATTTTTTTGCCATCACTTAGACATCAATGAGTGCACCAGAAACCCATGTCAACATGGACGCTGTGTTAACAAAGATGGCGGATACAAATGTGCCTGCTTGCCTGGATGGACTGGACAGAGTTGTCAGAATGGTATGTTTTGTTGTCTAGTAACCACTTACATATAAGTGGTATTGTATCTTTTATTGCATTGCATAATTTCTGTTTTTCCCTTTTTAAAATATTTACTATATCATGACCTTTGTTATATGAACGATCTTTATTCTTTTTTTTTTTGTCCCATGCCCAGACATGAATGAGTGTGTCAGAAAACCCTGCCAGCATGGACGCTGTTTGAACAAAGATGGTGGATACAAATGTGCCTGCTTGCCTGGATGGACTGGACAGAGTTGTCAGAATGGTGTGTTTTGTTGTCTAGTTACCACTTACATATTATTTGTATTGTATATTTTTATTGCAATGCATAATACCTAACTTATGTTTTTCCTTTTTTTAGATATTTTCAATCGTGACCTTTGTTATATGAACGATCTTTATTTCTTTTTTACCCAGACATAAATGAGTGTGTCAGAAAACCCTGCCAACATGGACACTGTGTGAACGAAGCTGGCGGATACAAATGTACCTGCTCACCTGGTTGGACTGGGCAGAACTGTCAGCAGGGTGTGTTTTGTTGTCGACTAGTAACCACTTACATATTATTGGCATTGTATATTCTTATTGCATTTTGTAATGTCTAATTCCTTTTTTTACTTTTATATTTATAATTATGACCTTTGTTATATTAATGGTATTTTTTTTACCCAGACATAAAT